CAAGGTGAGGCAAGTCGTGAAGGGGGTCGGACTTTCGTCTGTGGTCAGGTGTCGGTAAGTCAATCATCCATCCCCACACCGGTTCGGCTTTCACAGTCTGTTCCCGAGGGTCCAGTTAGGAAATACACGACATGAAGCCGCTTCCCGCAACACACTAACCGATTGGGATAAAACTTGTGGTGCATATGCAGATCTAGATTTTGTAGCAATTCGTAGTACCAGATGTACCCTGCTTCCGGCAAGAAAGGATTAAAAGGTTGACTGGAAAAAAGCATGTCCCGGGGAAGAGTTTGGCAGTTTCAGGATCAATCCATCCCAGTGCGAGTATGCAATTATTCATATCGCATGCGGTATCCTCACTTCAGGGATTTAATTATGCCATACCTTGTTTTATTCTTACAGGAAGACAAGGTGAACAGTCTGTTTGGAGGTTAAAAAACGTGAATCTGTTAGGGATTCCCAAACTTTGGTTGGAGCCAAACAAAACGCGAGGGCTAAACACTATGCATAAGGAAGATCTCATCGGAACTTGATGAACCATAGGCTTCGGTATGATAACGACCGACATGACTGGCTGTTTTCAGGCTCTTTTGATTGATTCCAGTTCAAATCAAACTGTCCAAAACACCTTGGCCTAAAGTATTCGTCTCCCCTAATAGATGCGACGCTGCTAAGTGAGGTGTTTTGACAATCAGTCATTGGCAGTTTCTAATACAATTACGCGCGACGATTACGTTGGTCCGCCTGCACCTTTAGAGGTACAGATAGAATCATGTTTTAGGTACGCGGAAACAGATTGCGTAACTGAGCCATTACGAATAAAACCACAAAACTGAGGCGAGGCCAGTGCTTAGTACGTAAGGAACTTTGTTCTCTGCATGTAAAAATACCTCGGACAAAGACCGATTTTGCGCTCCGCAAGGCTGATCCTTGTAAGGAGGACTATCATCAAAACTGTCCATGAGGAGGACTGACCACAAGTGGTCTCTTCAGGGACAAAATCTACCCCCAAACTCTTTAGGCAAGTTAACAAGAGATTGGAAGGTGGCTCCCTCCAAGCATAACCTCCACAGATGAGCAACCTTGAGAAGGAATAGCCGATTTCCACGGGGAGACCTCCAATATATTTTGTGCTAGGGCGTAAGAACGACAGTCTTGTGACAGGCATAAGATAGCTGCACGCATGGCCTTAAAAGTTATCCTCAGCGGCTGAAGTCTGTTATAATTGAGGACCGGCTTCCGATCAGCATTGGTGACCAATGAAGAACAGAGAATAGCAATAGCCATCGGAGCCATCAAGCGAAGATATTTACCTCAGAGTAAGGATCTTGTTGTGTCTTTATGGACGATCGTGCAACTCTGTATCGGTCCTTTGGCTTCCTGCTTCGCCCACTATGGTATATCAAAAGGCACGGCAGCTCTAGACAGCCCTTTATGGAGACAAAGGAAAATTATTACAACTGTATTTATAGAGTAGTCACAGAGTGTTCGACAAGGTCATGCCAGAGTTTCCGTGAGGGGGTGAGAAGCGTCGAGTCAAAGGTGCCTGACTCGGATTGGCTGGTATCCTGACCAATCAGAGCATGCCTTCGTTTGGCCCGTGTCCTGCACGTGACATATCCGTTCAAATGATGTGATGTTCGATTATTAGGGACGGCTGGCCTCCGAACAGATCTGAAAGCAAGGGACATGAATTTTCGCTCACAGATACCGGATCTGCAATAAGACACGTTGCAGCAGAATGCAGTCCCTCCATTTCTCGCTATTTGAAATTGCTGCACAGCTCTTCGCAGACGTTCAGATCACCGTCACAGAGAGTAAGCACCGTTTGAGCACATCATCACAGACACTACAAGTTCCCGTTTGCTGTCGAATGATTAGGACCAAAAGTGATTAAAAGATTTTGTCAGGCTTGTAGGCATTAACGCTCCACGCAGTAACCACACCCGACCGCCTCACTCAAACTCGGTCGCTAGGCCTGGGTACCCTAGATTACATCTCTTCAGTTTCTTCGACAAAATGATTAAAAAGGACTATCCTAGGGCGACAGCTAGAACGAGGCGTAGCTAATCCTGTTCCATCTGCACCTCAAGGCTGCAAAACTGTGCCTGGTTTTTTGGTACGCCAGACTATAATACTAGAACAGGGCGGAAATTGTTACTACTCAACGCCTCTTGTAAGTAGTATCGTACATCTTACGATTTAACGACAGCCGTTGAGCCGCACAATAAGTCAAAATACAGCATGAAAGATAGATTGTTCGGGGTTTTTGTGAAAACTCCGTTCACATGAATTGGCTGTGACTTTTACTTTACTCATCGCCTTCGGATGGGGTGTGGGGCGATAAGTGACCATCTTAATGTGAGACTTCCGGAACTTGGAGAAATTAGCTTGTTGTGAAAAGTGGAGACTATCCGAACCTATCAATTCGGCTAGGTTAAATTACCAGGGAAATTTGTAGCATAATTTTGTATAAATAGGAGACCATTAGAAAGTCAGTTAAACAGAGCATTCTGACGTTGACCTCGGACATTTTGGTCCTGTGATTTTGGTTGCGAAGGTCTGTGCTCACGTTATACGCAGCGTTTCAGCGGTACGGATAATCTGCAGTTTTTCTGTCTATCTGATTGTGATGGGAAGTTGTAGGGAANCTGCATTTTTTCTGTCTTGCTGATTGTGATGGGAAGTGGTAGGGAAATCACATTTGGGAACGCACCTCTGGGTGAAGATGTGCCGCACTGTAAAGTCACGCGCTGATCGATACACTCATTCAAAACCATACCTACCTTGTCAGCGGGACCAGAACTTGTAACTTATCTGTTTTCACTGAAAATATCCACGACAAAAACGAATACCACTTAACGCGAGCATCAGAGTCAACTAGCTGGCTGTTTTTTCCTTCAGTTTATGAAAATTTGGCTCAGAGCCAACAGATGTCAAGTGGCTGGATCACTGTAGGCCGACAACTCCATTTCGGATGCCCAATTTGTACTTTTAGACAAAATATGAGAAACTGACATCTCAGTTTAATGACATGAATATAGCTGGTTCGTTCACTTTAGGTCAGACCAGACCGAAATGCACATGGGCAGAGAACGACGCGTCGGCCTCATCGGTTGGATAACAGGTGCGTGGGCGGAGCTTACCGCTTAGGAGAATGCGACCAGCGGATGGACAAGTACGAACTAGCGAGTGACCATATTTGGCCAACCAGCCATCCTATGTATTTACACAATAACCCCGAATGACTGGCAGTACATCCGTGCTTCGTGGTCTTCTGTCTTCTTGTCGTGTAGTCCAGCATCCCAATTCAGGCGTAACCGCCGATAGAACAGTCATTCGGCCAGGTACACCCACAATCGAGGTTAAATAGATTCGATTTGTGATAAGAGTGCGAGATCCTGAGTGTGAATTTATGTAGGCGATTGACTGGGTTTTTTTCCTCTGAAGCCTAATAAACTGAAGAAAATGGATCCAGCGACTTTGAGCATTCAGGAACTGAAAGTTAGAATTATGTTGAGACGTTGGTACATTAGTTCCGCTTTGCTATTAACGAGGGTCTGTGTGTCGTTTCCCCTAATCTGATTACTTGTTGAAGCAAGCCAGTCAAGAGCACGAAGCCTGTCGAGCGTGGATGCATCAATCAATCGCAAACTTCGGCAGTGCCCTTTTAAATACGTTCAGCTTCTATTGTCCTAGCGCCCTCGCGCGCCTGTTCGATCAGGTTGGGGCCGTGTAGACCAACCAAGCCCACTGCATGAGTCAGCAAGACAAAGTCAGAGTATGTTCGTGAGAGTTTATTGGTCAGCTCATGGGACAGTACGCACATACGGAGGCGGACGCGCCAGAGTGATTTTCACAGAGTCTCACCATGATTGGGTGGATGGGATAAGCGAATCACATGACCACACACGTTTCGGACCTGAACACACTAATCGCTTACGCACCAGTCAAGTTAAGACCAAATCCCCTATGAGACCGGTGTGGATCAGGCCACTAAGCTGATGATACACAGATTACTGTCTTCATAACGTAAAAAATTAGTCCAGCCTCAATTCACACAGAAAGATTCTTCTAAGCATGAACAAACATGAAAATTTCACAAATCGCCTGCAACAGACAGTAAGCAGCTAAAGACCACAAGTTGCTTAGGCTTTAGCCAATTAGCCCTTATGGCGGTCACGTTTCAATCAAAGGAATCGTGTTCTCGCTTTCCAGTAAACAACAGCAAGGATTACGTTTTCCAAATAGTATGACACAATTTGCCGATCAAGACATCGGTTGGACCGTCTTTGTACCCAGAGAAATGGAAACGTTGGTCTGTAAGCTGTGAAGATTATGCAACCCTTCATGACATGCCTGTGGTGCTTACAGCGTCACGGAATCCACTCCCCCCGGGACAGAAGCCACGACAAGCGAGTGCGATGGGTGTATCAACAGTGTCCGGTATAGTAGGCACTACTGTGGTTCTACTGCCAGCTGCGAGACCTGCTACCATGATCGATCGGTTCATCAGATTAACACCAAGAAATCGTCCATTCCTCACACAAGGAAACAACATTGGTTATGGTAGATTGACACATCATACACAATTTTATTGCCAGAGAGAGTTTGAGCTTCGGCAACTGTCCGGAAGCGTTTAAGGCTGTTGGTTGAGACTACTAACCGAGACAAGTAGACAAACCGAATGGCCACCAAGAATGAAGGAACAAATGAAGATGAACGCTACTGTATGTTTGCCTGTTCTGGCAATTTGACGCAAACACGTGACCCAGAGGTTGTACCAACTCAAACTTAATCGTATTCACAGCGGCTATTGACAAGACCGCTGGTTGTAGTCTGCTGCCTGTGCATGGATCCGCACACATACCCATGTGAGATTAAGTCGAATCTTTAATTTTGGAGAAAGCACAAGTTAGGTGATAATATGGCGACCAATGTGCTCTGGATTCTTCCCTCCAAAAGATAGGAATTTGTTGGAAGCAACCAAAACCGGTCGCTAGAGAGCAGTGGTTGTTGTAGGCGGGGGCTTGTTGAAATGCGGTTTCACTGCATACTGAAACCACAGCATTTGTGTTGGCGCGTCCGATGTGATCTAGCGATTAGACGATGCCCGGTGAGGCACCTGCGAAGACTAACGGTAGTCGATGCTTTCGTGGACCTTCCAATTCAGAATACACCTGTACTCCATTCAACCGATCTTGGATGACTGGCTGCAAAGAACAGGGAAAAGCTTGAAGACGTGAAATGAATGGACCACGTTGTGCTACAGACAAACATGGCGTGACAAACAACATGCCAGAGGCCTATCCAAACCTCGATCGGGTTCGACCCCACAAAGTTCACTTTCCTCCTGCACGATAGGATAGAGAACATAGTTTGTTTCAAGTGGCGTGTTTGTGGGTGAGGGGCCGTATGAAAACCACATTCGGCACAGAATGTAGACGTAATCATAGAAAAAGGGAACCAAACAAACAAAAAAAACAACGGATCTTTGGCGAGTTGGAGGATCCGAGAGAAAGGGAGTGGAGCATGTTTGGGGCAGTGGAATTTTCATGGAAGTTTTAGGCCGTCCGTGTGTGTGACTGATTGATCGATTGATTGACTGACTGACTGAGTGATTGATTGATGTATGAGCAACAGTCATGCTTCCTGAAAATGGAGACACACGTTAGGGGAAGTGCGTAACCAAGACGAACTGAGTGAACAAATGCTAACCGGATGGATTTATTGGGACTGGACGGTCGGTAATGAGTTGGAAGGGGGTGGGCGAGTAATAAATGAGCTATGTGTGTGTGTAAAGGTAGTTTTGTAATAATACTACTAGTATAACGGCGGTAACAACGGCAAATAACAGTGTCATTGGTCTCTCAGGAAGAATGTCTTCAAAAATAGGCGGGATTTGTTCAGATGACAGGAGCATTTGTTCACGACACACCGGCATTCTTCAAACAAACTCGAGAAAATGGAAAGGAACCGCAATCAAAAAGTCAGAGTGACGTAGGAGACACTGTTTGGGTTAGTCCATCGGGAACACAGCCTCTTCTTCATCTCCACGTTTGACATGCTTCTTCTCATTGCTATCTGGAGCAAGTCCGGTGACTGGATAGACAGTAGCACCTCTAGTGGGCAGGGCAGAACCGGGCGCCCTCGGAGTAGAGTGCGTGCCAACAGGATCGAAGGTGGAGGTATTCGGAGTTCGAATTGATCTCTGTTGAACAGTTGGATGGAACTGCGTTGGCGCATCGGGTGAGGGAAGTTTTGTGTCCATAGTGCACGCATTTGTGGTTCGTGTGGGTGGGCTGATATGAACGCACAGAGAACAAGGTAGACGGTTAATATGGTATCCTGCTAACTGATGGTGCAGAGAACGCTGGGCGATAAGGGACAACAACATGAAACGGACATCTATCTTTGGGTTCCAAGAGAATTATCACTAGAGGAGATATTCATTGTAATGGTTGACATTGCCAGGATGAATGAACAGCCTGGAACGAAGGCTCAAAGTTCTCGGTGAGTCTGCACTCTGCTGTTACGAGAATGAGAATAAGCGAAAATTCGTATCTGACTGAACGTATGAGTAGGAAATCTATCGTTTGTGAACTGGTCGTCCGCCTGTTCACTGTTCGTCTTCCAGATACAGTTTCAACCGGACGAGTCGAATTAACCGTGCTCACAAGTCAAACGGTATCAATCCAACCGACTAACCGCATCGCTGATTAGGACCGAGTGAAAGTTCCCGAAAACTGTGGGGTTTGGTGAGAATCTACTACGGTGCAAGCTAAGGCTAAGTGACCGATCCGCCAGCGGTCTAACAAGACAAGAATTTTGCAAACCGATGCAAATCCAGCTCACGCTACGTCAACCCAATGGACTAAGTCATTGGGCTTGGAAGTATAAAGTATCTTTTGCTCCCTGGTTTCAACTCAAGCAAAGCATGCCCATCATAAGCTTCAATCGATCGTCCCAATCCAGGCTACCGTGACCTTTCTCATCCTGCCGCTCAACTGAAATTTGCCTCTTAGGGTCACCGCAGCTGAATACTAGACTCATGCAGTGTGAACCAACATATCGAGCACACAGCACGTGAGCATCTGGGTTGAAACTAACCGATGGGCAGTGAATGCAACATAACACACGGAACACGTCAACAGCCTCGGAACTTTCCGTAGACTTGGAACATGCACAATTTAGAACCATGAAGCATTGTGAAGGCAACGCTGGAGATTATACTCGATGAATTAGACTCCTGATTCAATTCGGCAACGGGGTTATCCGAGCTCTTCTGATATCAGTACTCGTAAAATCACTGGGTGGGATTTTCGTACTCGGTAAAGTAGATGGATGAATTGTGAGATGCACAGCACCTCTTCCCTCGGTGTGACACCAAATGAGAGGACGCAAAATAGCAGTTATCTTGGCCGAATCAAGCGATTGAAGTTTACGACAGACACATTTTTCGATAGTTATTTGGTTCTACGCTGAAAAGCCGAGACGCATTGTGCAGCTGTCTCATCCCTATTGGTAATCGCCAGCGTGTCCCGATTGCTCACTACCACAGTGGACGTCAGTGCGCATTGGCGGTCCGCCCTTGTGTGATAAAAGAAACTGTCGGTGGAAGACAGTGCCCATAATCCGCACAATGCTCTCAGTTGCGAAACCTTTACGAGTGGAGTAAAACTTTCTACGCCAAAATGTTGCATCTCATTGCTTATGTGCTCAAACTAAAATCCATTCCAACTACTTTCATATTTTTGCAGCTCACCAAATCTCATTGTTCACTGAAGCAACCATGCCCCTGGTTGAATAGTCTTGTAGGGTAATTTCCCAGCGTCGCTGAGACCCTGGGATGCCTAAATGGGGCCTGCCCAATTGCTTTAGTCCATCACGGAAACGTCTTAACTTTCGAAAATTCAGTTCCATTGTGCGAATACTGAGCGCCGTAGAAGGCAAACTAAGCCCGTCCAGAAGATTGGACAAACGGATGTTTACTCGCAATTCCCCCATTGGCGGTGACGAACAGTCTTGTCTAGACGGCTTGGCACGGTTGACGTGGCCAATCACCGGACTCCACCAGGCTGGCAGTGAAAATTGCTGTCAGCTGCCCTAGACAGACAACTTGTGACGGTCACGTGATCGGAAAGTTGCATGAAAGACGGCCTTGGACTGGCAAGGGAACGTGGTGAATGAGACTAGCCGGGTGGGAGTGGCCGCCCGAAAATAAAACCATTAAAACAGACATTGGTGAAATGCCGTTAAATCGATCCATGCTGTAGTCACCATATTTGGTTACTAAAGCCACGAGATATCTCGGTTTCTATTCACATTTTTAGTTGAAGACAGTAGGCCTGAGCTGTACTGTGAAATTAGCTCTGAGGATCTGACAAACCACTCTAAGTGCAGGGTGGAACGACAAATCGCGTTGTAGAATCCAAAACTCAGCAAGGACACGTCCGTCGACTACGAAGGTCCACCAGTCAACAGTGGTGAGAGCGCGAATTTACTGACAGGAAGGTCCGTGGTTCGAACCCGACCTTTGTGCCTCTCGACCTCCCCTGTTTGGGCTTGGGCAACCTGACAGTATCCCAACCCTCGTGTTTCCTTCGGGTAGCATGGCAGCTAGGCACGGGAAGGATGTTACAGCTAAGATACTTTTTTAGTCGGCAATGAATGAATTATAGCATAAGAGTGGGGTTCATCACCATGCCTCCTAATAACATACCGTGTACAGTAGCACTACGCCTTACTAAATGAGTGCTCAATTTCAATGAAATCCATACCGTTGTGACTTCAGAAAAGTTTGGAAAATAGTCAGATGATTTATTGCTGGTCGAAATTTCGCCCTTGACAACCAGTCACTCAGTAGGTTTTTCAGCTCAAGTCGTGCTCTTGTTCCAGCTGCTACCGCTGCGTTCACTGAGGATACCGAAAGTAAGGGAATGGGAGCCAAACGTCGAGGGCGAGTTCATTGACGTCAAGTGGTTCTCTGTTTATCCAGTGTGACAGGGATCGGAGCTGTGCACTGAGGGCGATGGCCTTGATAAAAGAGTGCTATTGGCTGCATGATACCCGTCAAGGTCACTAAACATTCGTTTGTCTCACTTTTAACAAGCTAAGTGATCAAGTTACAAGATTGATCGAGTTCGAAAGCAGAAGCAAAGCGTGTGAGGGACAACTTCTGAATATTATGTCAGTCCATTTTGTTTACGTTAACGCACGAATCACGTGCTAGGAACAGGCCAGAGTGTGCCAAACGTAACAACGTGGTGACCACGTGATCAAAGTCTTCATGGATTATGACGTTGGATACGGTTGAAGTTCAGCTTATCACGAGCTTGATGAAAACCATGTTTTGGTGTTATATACCCGATTCAAGGAATAAACACAACCTTTGATGGAGGGGATGGGATGCTTTCCCCAAATGTCAATTGTTTCAGCGGATGATACTGAGTACCTAGAGAAAAACAAATTGTCAGATAAAGCAAGTTCATTACTGTGGCTAAGCTATATCCGAACTAATAAAGCTATGGTATCCTTTGAATACTAAACCAAAGGGCGTTTTGGTGTCTCAGTTGGGGACCCTCCTCCGGTTTTCTGGAAGATTCTCTTGCTTCAGGAAAAATTTAGGTGACTCCGAATTCATCTTCCGAGGGCGATGTTTCTTTTTGCTAGGTCTCCTTGATGTGTGCTTAATCAAAAGAATATTTGCACTGATGACCACGCATTTTTTCACAAAAAGGGCTGGGTCTCCACTGAAGTTAGAATTTTTCGGCAGTTATGATGCTAACTCGATTCATATGAAGGACCCTAAGACGGGCACCCTGAACGTAGTTGTCACTGGAAAACGTAATGCTGCTCAAACCTCGGTCACTGTTTCTCGCTCCCAAAACTAGAATCTGGCGGGGGGATCTTCAATACTCCCCATTTCAGCCAACATGTGTACGGAGGGCTGGAGAGAAAGGTTTAGCTGGATTCCGGTGGCCATTAAGGGATTCTTAGCGTTAATTAGATGACACGTTCGTTGAGACCAAGTGTAACGGGGTTAACGAATGCACAACCAAATACCTGTTTTCTAATCCCCTAGTTACTAACACGCCGACACCATCCAGAACCAGCCACGATTCTGAGGCATCCGTGGTCAAATAGCTGAAGACAGCTCACATCATCCGTCCGCAGAGGCCACGTCTCGCACCCATACGACAACACAACCCTTACTGTAGCTTGGTACACGCGACCCTTAAGCGCAGAGGATATGCCTTTTTGACGCCACAAGTGACGCAAGTTAGCAAACGTGATTCGAGCCTTTGAGATTCTTGCACTGATTTCATCAAACACACTTCCGTCAGGGCTAATGCAACTACCGAGGTACGTAAAGTTTTCCACAATCTCCAGTGATTCTCCTTGAATTGTAAGGGATATGTTCGCATATGGCACGTTCTGAAGCATGTCTTTGCACTTTGAAAGTGCAAGGCGCAAGACGCCAAAAGATGCAATGATAGTGGTCAGCTTATTCACCAGGGCTTGTGCTTCGCTTTGGTTTTTAAAAATTAGGACGATGTCATCTGCGTACTCAAACTCGAGAAGGCAACAGTTTGAACACCGGGGTTTTGGGGACCGCCCAGTGTTCGCTTCATTACTTCATCCATGACAAAGTTGAGCAAGAATGGAGACAGTGGACATCCTTGTCTGACACCACTTTTTGTAGGGAAGCTTTTGGAGAGCTCACCATACACTCTCACCCGTCCGGAAGTATGTGAATATAGGGATCGGATTATGTTTACAAACTTCTGGGGGCAAGTGTAGTTAATAGTACTGATCGATTGACAGAATCGAACGCACCATTGAAGTCAAGGAATACCAGGATTGTGTTATCTGTACATGTGGCGTTGCTCTAACACACAACGTCAGGAAAATGTGAAAGTGTACGAAGGGAGGTGTCAGCAGTAACACGCTATATGCAGCAAGTAAGGCAACCCGTCTGATGGCACCACGCGACGGCCGATGTGGCATGAGTTTTTGTGCACGGGCTGGGATACTGTCAGAGCGCCCACATTTAGACAGGAGGACGATTAGGGCCCTCAATCAAGGCATTTACCCCAAAGGCATGACCGCAAGGCAGCGGCGTTTGGCGGGAAATGCAACTGCATTGCCATTTTTATGGAACACGTTCAGAGATCAACGCAAACAAATCAGTGTCAGAGAACAGACTGTTTTGCATAGTCCTTGTGGTTCAAATGCTTGCAAGATGGGAACAACCAGGTAGTCAGTTTAGGACTTGACACTGATGTGTGGAAGTCTCAAGCAGTAAACTCAGTAGCGTTAGCCACCACGGTCTCCAAAGTTGGGAAGGCACAACGAAGGCCATTGACATTGATAGTCAAATAATAAGGTTCCTTCGTCAAGAACGTGACCTTCAATGAGTGACCTTCTCAATACCTCGATAACAACTACAGTTCATCGTCCAAGAAGTGACTAAACAACTGTTTCGAACACGTGACTGTACGCTCCTCGTCTTCCCTGTTATCTACCAAACTGAACCAGCTGAAATGCATTGTAAGGGCATGACTAATGAACTTTACATTCGTTTAAAAGTAAAAAGAAACAGAAGTGTGCTACAAAAGAACCGATGAGCAACTCTGAAAGAAACGGAGAATCAAGAACACCACTCACCCCTCCGAGCCTTTGGAACTATAGGAAAACGTCGAATCCGTGGACATCTGGTGCGATGACAAAAAACGTGGTTGCTCAGTTTTGCCGTTTAGTGGATTTTTCCCATCCATGCTCTGATGACAAGCACAATTGCAAAAACTCCCATCGCTCGGTATCGCATGATGGAGTCGCGAAGTTAAATGTAATCTCTCTGAGTCAGAGTGAGCCGAACATGTGCTCCCAGAAGAGCTTGACAGTGAAGCTCCATCATCAAACGAAGAATTCGACGCACCGAGTAAAGAGTCTGAATGGTGAATTGCTTCGGGCTTCCTTGCGTTTCGCTCGAATGAATTCGACGACATCACTTCATCCGAACTCAGCGATCCACCAGCCCAGTGGTGGTCACCCAGAGGGGAATCGCATCTCTCGTGATTTGTGTGTGACATTCCGGCAACACCCGAATCTGGACGACTGGATTTGCTCGTGACAATTGCTCGAAGCAGGTCCTTGGAAGTGACCACACCAATTGGATTTCCAGTACCAGCTGGCGAGCCATGTTTGGGCGCATCAAACAATACGAGACACGGTGCCTGAAACGAGGTTGGAAGGATATAGTGTTTGTGTCTCCTATTACAGCAAATGGGATTGGAATTCACTGAACAAGGATAAACTCTTTCTAAAAAATACGACCGTTAGACAGGCTAATTATACTGACAACAATCAGGGGTTGATCCAAGGGAACGCGTTCGAGTGGTTCGTATTCACAGGAAATTTACCTCTTTCTGCCCCACACATCAGGACCTCAGAAAAAAGTGACCGCGCGGCACGAGTGATGAATGGTTCAATCACTTGAGAATTGCGTCACACGCTAGACTTGCCCCCTGTCTTTTGAAGCAACTTGGAGGGATGGTGTAAGCCCAGCTGCGTCTCACAAGTTCACGTCACTTGATAGTGATCAATTGCCAAGGCGAAAGTATTACGCGCCACAACGAATACTTGTAGGAATCAAATAAACCAGCGTTGCAAAAGCTCTGCTGGACAAACCACTACCACTATATTTACGAACACTGTGCTTGCATCCTGGTCATACCCTGGTATTCCAAACTCATGGATAGCATTGTCCTCTGTTGATCTGGAATACTCGTCCCACCAATGTGTTCAAGTCCATACAATTCCCGGAAAGGGTGGACCACCAAAGAGTCTTAAGAACCCTAGTCCGTTTCGTTTGGTTTCGCACCACGGCAACACGCAGAAAAATGCGACGACGCTCATGCTACTGATGCGGGTTATGAGTAGTTCCGTCAACAATCAAACTCGAAAAACCTCACACAGTCTGTTTTGTCGACTTCATCTTCCTGCTCAAAATATTTCTTGCGCATATGTCCCACGAATGTGTCGTGTTGTCTCGTCTCATTGACGCACTTGTTCACAATATGAGTACCGTACAGTTTTGGTCTGAAATATAGAAACGAATGGGAGCGGGCACGCTCTCTGACGTAACTGGGTGGGATCTTCATTTGATCGCCCGCGGACAAAGAATATAACGTTTCTCAGACATCAACCTGATCACAACGGTTGTGTCAAATAAGCATACATGGGCGAACTTGGACGCGGGGAATGAACACCCCCCCGTCCCCGATTGTTTCTCCTTGCCTTAGGTGCTGTTGCAACAAAGTCACCGCCACCACCTGTTTTTCTTCTGTCTTTTTTTACTGATGGAAACACGGAGGAAATCCTCTATTTATTCAAAAGAAGTCTCTGTGAACAACGAATGCAGTACTTTACTGTCAAGGAAAATATGAAAAATTTCCTGATAAACGCCTGCTTGTCTGAAGAATGACAGTATGCAGTGGGAATGAAGCCGACGGGTAGCTTGTCACAAACATTCATGAGTGTTTGCGGCGTGGATGGAAATCGGGGACCCCCAGGGATCCAAAGTGGGAGTCTAGTTAGATCAAGGATATCTTGATTATCTTGACAGTTTGTCGAGCTACACTTTGCTCAACTCACAGTCAAAATAGTTCCGTGGATACAGAGCGAATTTAATGACCGGAAGGTCTGTGGTTCGAATCCGACCTCTGCATCGCGACCTCTCCTATCTAGGCTGGCAGTATCCCAGCCCTCGTGCTTCCTTCGGTTGGCATGGTAGCTAGGCACCGAAAGGTTGTTACAGCTGAACGATTGTCTTTATAATGCCCACAGTCTGCACTATGGAAAAGAGCGCTTTCTTCAGAAGACAACATCGTCTGGTACACAAATTATCAAAAACAATCTCCAGCGAGATGCTTCTCGACTAAAATATTGCCTGATAAAATCGTTCGATCTATCTAAAACGCTGGCAATACTTTAGAACCCATATTTTTCTGTAAAAAAACTGATTACGCGCCCGCTAAGTCGCGGAAACAAGCAGATGATATGGACCATATCTGGACGGCCTACAAGACTCAGCAACCGACCTCTGCTGTCAATCGCTGCCTTTGTGTACCGACTTAGGTGAGACCGGATCATCCGGTCACAGGGAGGATCAAGTGGACTGGGTCGTACGGAGAGATAAGCCGCTTCCGTCATCCCAGCTTCATCTTAGAAGAAACAGAGCAACCGAGTGAGTCCCATGCTCGCTAGTGATGATCATCAAGATTTCAGCTAAAGGCCACTGGCAACTGGTTCAGACTGCCGTTGAAGCGGTATGCTGGTGTGTGGCAGCTGTCATATGTGATCGGAACTGAAGGGGAGCGAGTCGCCCAACGACCCAAGGTATTAGTCCTTCCTCCCTCATCCCCTTGAAACCACATACAAACACACACACACACACTAATCGCAGCAGCAGGCCCCGATCAATAATGACGGGATAATAGTGCGACAAAAATTGTTTTTCTCATGTTTTTATATGAAACAGCCCTATAGGACGTACTTCAATAAAACTTGAAGTAGAAACAAGGCGAACAGTATGAATTCATCCAATCACGTGATATACGTATTGTTCGGATCCGGCTATCTAAAGGGGTATTTTATTCCTTTGATTAGTTTGCGCTAAGATGTGAGAGGGGCGAGATGGTCAAGTGGTCCAGAGCGCGAATTTACTGACCGGAAGGTCCGTGGTTCGAACCCGACCTCCGCCTCTCGACTTCCCCTGTCTAGGCTTGGGCAACCTGGCAGTATCTCAGCCCTTGTGGTTCCTTCGGGTGACACGGCAACTAGGCACCGAATGGGTGCTACAGTTGAACAATTATTATTTATTAAGATGTGAGAATCTTGTTTGTATCAGTCGGTAATTTCGAAATCTACCGAATTATGAATATTCGTGCATAACTAGGCTTTTGTCCTCAATTTATTTTCTGTCGGCTGCCTGCCTATTATCCATGGTTCCCCATCGGTTCTACACACAGTAGGACGGTGACTCAAGCGAGAGACACTGACAAAGAGGAGTAAGCAGAACACGGCTAGAACAGTTTGTGATCACCATCCCACGGGATTCGGTAAGCATCGTTTGGGTTGTTTTCACGTTCAAATTAGAGCAATTTTTCAGAGGAACTTTCCGCGGCATACTGAAAAGCCCCCTTCGTGTTGGAGATCACAAGTGATTTGAGCTTGTTTCTCCGCCCACCCGCTTGTGTTATCCGGCGCCTTTTAGGGTAATAACGTAAAAAAAACTCGGTATAATCATCCCAATACAGGCATCTAAATCAGTTACAACAAGCGGTGACATCGATTGTTTTAAACCCCCGAAACAGTAAAAAAAAATACAACTAGCATCTATACCGCGAACTCATCGCCCACCCACCCCGAAAATGGTCAGACCAGAAACGTCGGAACAAACATACGGGATGCTTGGTTTTTGGTTACGTCCTGAACCAGTCAGATGGGTTCATTCTCTCCTCGTCCTCCGCCTGTTCACGAGAAATCTCACACAGTGTGTAGCAAAAAAGAGGAAACTCACTTTCAACCGGAACGTCCGATCCAACGCATCTGCGATCAATTCGTGTGTGTAGCAGATGCAGTCCTGGTGAAATCGACAATGCTGAAAAAATAAGTTTGAAAAGACAGAGTAGAGAGAGAGAGAGAGACTGGCAAATCAAATCCAGTCAGACAGGGTTAACTAAAACCAACTTCCTTGGTGTGGAGACATGCAAATTTTGAAGAGCAAGGTGATACGTTTTTTGAGGAAGTTCACGGGCAGGGGGGAGTAGAATTTTAACACAACACGCTACTTCGCTCATTTCATTTAAAATTTATCGCGAGACAGTGAGAACTATACACCGACTCAGATTTGCTGTGTGCTATAAAGTTCAAGGTGCTAGCCTTCTTTAGATTTGCTTAGACTAGGCAGTGTGCTTCACGGTTCGGATGACGCGCCAAACCTTCGCTAAGACCGAGAGCGTTAGCGACAATTGAGTAGTATCTATCGGTTTGTTCCACCACCGACCAAGAGAACCAGGCCTGGAAAAACCGGTTGTCAAAGCACTCGGTGCAAGCCGCCTCTCAATATTGTAGTGTAGTGGAAAACTACTTGAGGCAAGCGTTTCTCTTGAAAAGAGACGACATTCCAACCACGTGCGGTGAACGATGATGAGGATGGAGCAGAAATTTTGAAAATCCCACCAAGTATTCGCTGGCCATCGTGCGTGTATTTCTGTCTATCGAGTGGACGGGAAACATTGTTCTCACTCTGATGCACACGCAAGTGCCAGTTGATAGTAATTGTGGAATGAAAGAAAACAACTAGTCGTACATCTACGTTATGGGCCAAGGGGTGATGTTTCACAAACACCTTCGAAATTCGCGGAAATCTTTACCTCACGTCGAGATGTCTGTAACAGGTTGATTGCAAGCTCTTGTACCGACTGGGCTTCCTAACCCCGGCTGTCGTCAGCCCTACCTGTGCAACACGACCGGAATCGATCAACGACTTTACATGAATCAGTAGGCAGTAAGTAGGAACACTTGATGCTTGTGCGACAAAAATGAAAGAGGCTTAACTGTTCTCGAAAAAGTTTGGTGACAATCGGTAGATTCACCGCACGGCGAAGGTGCGAATGCACCACCAGTAAAACTAAAGTTTGTCAGTGTTTGTTGTGTCTTGTTGGACGGTAGTGAAGCTCTGTATCGATCCCTTGACTTCCTGCTTCGCCCATTGTGGCATACCAAAAGGGACGGTAGCCCTTTATGGAGACAAAAGGAGAATTATTACAACTCTATTTATAGGGCAATCAGTGTTCCACAAGTTGGTGTTAGAATCTACTAGATGGGACGAGAAGCGTCGAGTCAAGGATGTTCGATCCGGATTGGCTGGCATTCTGACCAATCAGGGCATGCCTTCGTTTGCCTGTGTCCTGCATGTGGCATATCCGTCGGAATGTGATGTTCGGTTATTAGGGACGGTTAGCATCCTCCTCGAAGTGGAAGTTTTAAAACAGTCAAACAACACTAAGTTTTGTAATCTTTTTATTTCCGATCTCGGTATTTTCGATTACATGAGAGCAAAAATTTCAGGCGGATAAATAAGTCCAGCATATATGGTGGACAGGTGCACCACCAGTCAGAGAAAAAAGACCGACACGGCTTTTCACCGCCATCATCATCATTCTCATCATGTGTTCTGCATTTGTCCACTGTTACAGACGTTCGGGCAAAAAATCTGATCCCGAAACATTAGGTAGTTAGGTAAAAAAAGATGATGACGCCACACAGCGTCGAACAATTTTTTTTAAAAATATTTCTGATCAGCCACTCGAGGCCAATAGATTGTGTTGAATCACAGACCGGAAGGTTACGAGATCGAAACTCCCTGATTTTCGTGAGATGTGCACTGCTGATGATTCCCAACAAGGATGAAACAGCTGTACAGCGCTTCTCGAATTTTCGAGACAGATTGGCATCATTGACATGAAATCTCTTTCGAATATTTTTATCCCCTGATCAAAAATAGCGGCGTATACACTATTCATAAGGTTGCCGAAAACCCTTAGAAAACAGGCGATCGGTTTCGCCCTTCTTGGGTAGACGCAGTTCCTGAGCTTCCGTCAACCTTATGTTGTAATTAAACCCAAATTGCACGAAATTGGCGAAGTACTCTCAATTGCATACCAATGTAGTTTTGACGAGAGACTCATCTGGAACCCAGCTGAAGCTCTGGTTTATCAGGAGGCCTGGTAGAGCTTAAAAACATCATAAACGACAGGTTCATCTGGGTTCCAGGTGAGTCTCCCGTCAAAACCACATCGGTATGTAGATGAGTGTATTTCGCTCGAGGCGTGTACTTTGCGTTCTTTCATTATGGCGAGGCAGTAGAGGGTTGTGCAAAACTAGCTTTGGCCTGCTGATAAACGGGTGATGATAGGATGATCAATCGGCTGCCGCATTCAAAATACTTGACGCTTTCAGAAGTTATCAATGTTCCGGAAGGCTTAGCTCTTCGGGTAAACTGCGCACGTTTTTGTCACAAACCTTTAAACAGCGTTTGTATAGAACGGCGGGAATATTGGTGACGATTATACGAGTTGCCAATGAGGGTGGAGAGGTTGACTCCTCCACCGGCTGCTTTTTGTCCGACTTACCATCAATTTGGCTTCGAGGATTTTGCTCACAGGTTGATGAACAGCCTGATCGGGAGAATGACCAAGAACAAAGTGCTGAAAGGAGACCAAATGCGGGGACGGTGTTAGTTCAGTTGTGCATTTCAGAGCAGAAGTAGATGTGCTGAAAGGAGACCAAATGCGGGGACGGGTGTTAGTTCAGTGGTGTATTCCAGAGCAGAAAAAGTAGACTGAAGATTGTGAAAACGCTCGCGTCATCGTTTCTGTTGTTGAAAGCTGGACTTATTCCTGACCTTCTTAGATGACTGACAACATTCGACAGAAGGACTTCCGACATCCGGTTATATCGTTCGTCAATTTTGTGTGAAGAATGTGTGCTATATCTGGACTACTCAAATGTGATCGTTTCATAAACATAAACTACTACTGTCATCTGTTAGTGGATGAGTTAAGTGACCGGCGTGATCGTGTCTGGTGGCCCCACGCCAAAAATTCACAAAAATGCATGGGATCCAAGAAGCCGTAACTCTTAAGAGGCTTCAAAACTCTTCCGAAGAGGGCGACTTCTGCCGGGGAATGTATTTCATACATGCATTACCTCCAAACAAACATTTTACATTGTCGAGAAAAACCTTCATCCAGTCAACCGAACAGAATCTTGGGAGTTACGCGGGATATTACATCACAAAACGCGCTGCACAACAGTTACTTGGACCTCATCCCTTGTGAGGAGATGCAGTAGCTAATCTGAGGACTCAAAAAGGTATACCACAGAGCGAGTGGTGTAATTCGCGTCACTCTTTTGCCCGGAACAAACGTTTCATTGGTTTACCGTTTAACGCCACTGAACAATCGATAACACATGACCAAAACTGCGTAACTTACCAATAGATCACCGGGAGAGATGAAGCCAAGAAGCGGATTGGTTTGAGTCGTGGCACCCTCATTGGAACAGATCACCGGGAGGGCAGGCAACTGAGGCAACCAAATGGACAAGGCACGTATAGTATCACCACAAAGTGAACTCGGTGAGAGTATGGGAGACGGGAGGTTGGCATTCACATCGGCCGCCGGATGAGGATCGGAGCTGTTGTGTTTGATCCGGCAGTGCCTCAAAGACCAAGATCGCTCTGACCATCGCAGACCGGGAATACTATCCACGGGGGACTGAATGAGATAGGCAAGCGAGAAAAAAACCGATAAGGATGGGCGCGAGTGGTTCAATTTTGGTTGGTCAGACAAACCTGACATGTGACCTTCGGGCCCAGATGAGTAACTTGTGAAGATGGTGAGACATGAAGGGAGTTTATTTTCTCATTCGCCTCTAAATGACCACAGATTTGAGCTCCTACAAAAAAAATACAAGGCAAACTGGCTGAGGAAGCTTGGAGACGTCTACATCTGGGTAGACAGTACCGTAACACGTGTGTAATCTTGCAGGGAATGGGATTCGAGAAATCTTGGGGTTCGAAGCCAAGGCTAGACCTGATTCAGCGGGTTCAGATGCGAACTCCTAATGGAAAGTTCGGTAGATCGAACCCAAGTGACTTGGTTGCCAGGTATCTATCGACTAAATGGATAGCTTTTACCGACCGCGAACCGATTTTAATACTAATGGACTTGGCTCCAGAGACCCTTGAACTCTACCATTAGTACTCACGGATACAGAGAGAGAAATATGAGCCAGTTGGACGAATAGACAAAACACCAATTACAAGTGCCCGGTAAATTTCACGTGATCCCGGTGGCCAATCATCTATGTGAATGATCGTGCTCCAATTCAAGCGGAAACTTAGTAGGTGCGTTGCCAGGCTGTCCGTATAACGCACTGCGCCGATAATGATGAGGTGTAACAATATTGGTAACCTTGAGTCAACGAGATTCGGCAATAATGTCACAATTATGTCCAACCACATTGTGTTCACGCCCTACAGACGTTACAATTTTTGGAAACGTTGTCAACTAACATTCCAATCACAGTAACCAAAGAGATAAGGTTCATGGGCTCGGTCCCAGTTCGATCACTTGCCAAAACACAGTTCGGAACAAAAAAACGAGTTCAAATCATTCTCATGTACAGAGTTATCTTGTGGCATCCCAAGGGGGCAGTGAAATATGCAACACTGGTTAGGATAATCAGAGTCAAGTGCATGTGACCCTTCACACGTTTGATGGTGGTACACTTTAGGAAATCGCAAAAACTGGTTGGTGCATTTATTGGTGCACCTACTGGCAGTCACTTTAATGAGGACCGGTTGACGGTGAATTTGAAGCCTCTTTGTGACAGTAGACCGCATCGCGAATGCACAATCCGATCCGCAATACGCACAGTATCGTTTATAATATGCCATCTGCGAAGAACTAAGCGTGTTTGAAGCGTGCAACAGGATACTGACGAATGGTGGGGAACTGCGCAAAATCAGTACGAATCCTCAGATAGTGCATCGGGTTGGTTAGAAAACGGAATTCCGAAGAAAACACAGACAGGAGCTTGTGTTCCCCAGATGATAGGCAGTATGACATATGGGAATTCGGGGACTGCGCCCACCTGATGAGCTCCAAGAATGGCAAAATTGATTGTGGGCTGTCGAAGGGTTTTCAGCAACCTTTGTGAAAAAAAACTACCGGTTTGCTGCAGGATGGGTAATTTATTGACGAAGTCTATACAATGCCTGTTTTTTTTTATCAGAATAGGTTAAACACCAACGTTGTTCTCATAGATGGCAGCTTATTTGTTTTGTGTGCCGTTGGTTGGTTGTGCACGACAGTTCCCCATTCGTTATCCATCGGGTAGAAGCGTCTCTGGAAAGGGACGGTCTGTGGGTGGGGCAATCTAGGTCTTCCACAGAGTTCGTCTGAAAAGCGTCGGTTTGGTTGCGCATAGATGCCGTTCGGGACGGGCAACAGGCCTAAAACATGCCAAGACGGCACAGTGGGAAACAACATTCAGAGATCATCCCACAAGTGGCTGTGTGCCAGACACTGTCGGTTCCAAGCAAAGAGGTCAAACGTAGAAAGACGTCCCGGGTGGATGGGATGAAATCGTCAACATCCAAAGCGTCTTCAAGGTTTTGACCATCTCGGAAGCGTTGATAGTACTGAATGGTGCCGACCAATCCGTAAGTATAAGGTTGTACAGAGGGCACCTCTAGCATCATCCACTGCAGTGGTTCGACCACGTGCTACGCAGTTCCAGGCATCTCTCGTTCGAAATGGCGCTAACAGCAAGGTGGGCAACGCATGACTTGGAAGAAGGCTATGAAAGGGATAACAGAACGTTTGGCCGTTGCTGGAGCTGCCCGACTTCCAGGAAGGGGGCACCGTAACCCCTGTGCTTGACTGGAGACACTGTGAACAATGGCGGCTGGTCGATGTCAGTGGTGCTCGTGGTGTCAGTTTTCATACAGATTGTCCAACTGGGAGTTTAGAGGGACTACTTACGATCAGGTTGTTGTACTGCGCTGGCTAAAGGTAACAAGAGGGACGGATGGACACACCATATCGCATGCGGGTTAACGACTCATCTAGCTGTGTGAATCATTCAAACAAGACGATATAAGATACATTCTCCTCGGCGGCCATTACACCAAAGGACAAAATCATCCGACCTACAGCATTTCTCACGGAATTGAGTGGTCACTGATAAGATGATAATAATAAAGATAATCGTTCAGCTATCCCTAGTTGCCATGTCACCCGAAAGAAGCACGAGGGCTGGGATAATGCCAAGCCTAGACAGGAGAAGTCGAGAGGCAGAGGAAGGGTTCGAACCACGGACCTTTCGGTTAGTAAATTCGTGCTCTAACCACTGAGCCATCTCTCCCCCTCATGAGTGACACACAATAAATGAAATAATAATAATAATAATCGTTCGGTACCTGGCCGCTATGCTACCACCCGAAGGAAGCACGAGGGCTGAGATAGTGTCAGGGTGCTCGGGCCTCGATAAGAGCAGTTGAGAAGCCATGGGTTGGGTAGGAACCAGGGACCTTGGCGCGATAACCACAGAGCTATCGTTCAGCTGTAGCACCCTTTCGGTGCCTAGCTGCCATACCACACGAAGGAGGCACGAGGGCTGGGATACTGCCAGGTCGCCCAAGCCTAGACAGGGGAAGTCGAGTGGCGGAGGTCGGGTTCGAACCACGGACCTGAGCCATCTCAAGCAAGTGTCACGTATGGAAATGACTCATGCAATGAAACAAACACGAGAAAAAATTCAGGATAATCTCTTGCTTCCAATCATTTCAGTAGGTGCTGGAACAACGTGCTCTGAACAGGTCGCCCTAAAACCTTCATAAAGCGCTTCGGGACAGTTTGAAGCGATTTCCGGATGCCAGCATGCATATTTCTCCATTTCCGTCTTACGGCACCCTCCAATTCAGTCCTAGAGTTTAGCATCATCATGAAGTTAGCGTGGCCATTTGTCTCAAAGGTTCTCAATGAGTTTGAAATCTCGACTGCAAGCTAGCCACTCCACTGACGATGTTAAGCACTGAGTTATCTCGCCGAAATATCATCCTTGTCTAATCCTGAAATTTGAAATCTCCTCTCCATCTTTTCTAGAGTTTTTCTAATCGCTTTGGCTGAGGTCTCTATCCTCTCTGAAGTAGATATTTGAGGTCCTCACGGCATGTAACTCTTGAGTCATGCTTTAAAGGTCTGCGGACACAAAATCATCGACATGGTTCGACAGTGCAACGGACATAACGGATGGATCGATATGTCCCGCGCGGTATATCAAACATCGCAAACAAAGGTCAACTTAAACAGATGTAATAATAACCTATGTAAAAATGCCATTTCACACCGACCGCTGATATGCCTCTTCAATGGGGAATGTGTACGATACTGCCCCGCGAACTCAACAAGTGAACAGCTGTTGGGCGCTAGACCTGAAGTCCAACAGTTTGTCGAGTGATATTGTGCTCTGAGCTTCGATAAATTCTAGCGTTGTGAAGAAAAGAATGAAAGTGAGTGAAGAAGGAAATTAGTGCCAGTCTACCACAATCATACGACACATTTAGACGCTCTGGATGGAAACTGACAAAAAGAACTGACATTGGTTAGCAACCATATCGTGCAGTGTCTCCAACCAGGTACAGTGGAGATCACTTGGCCCCAATCATGGAAGGCGCACCGACAGCACCCGGACTTTTCGTAATCCCTTTCATATCAATCTGCTAGGTCAAAGGTTGACCACCTCTCTGGGCACGAAAAAGAGCGCTGTCCTCGGTAAACGATGGTTCGGCATGCCCAGTACATGGTCAAAACCAACGCAACTTCTGGTGGTGTTTTTTCTGCTTGTCTCGCCAAAACCATCCGACACGAGATATGGATAGGAGACAACGGTTGTCGAAGATCTGCAGATGGCGTTTCACTTCAGCGTCTCGCGCAGGCCATGTCTCATATCCATACAACAAAACAGCCCGTACTGTGACCTATACACACGTCCTTGGAGACTCAGAGGTATACCGCCTTGCCACGATAAGCGTCCGAAATTAGCAAGCGCGACCAAAGTCAAAACTCCTGGCTCGATTTCTCCTCTAATTATGTGACCACATGGATGATTTTATAGCTAGGTGAAAATGGATCGATAACTAAACAATTTTCAGTTGAACCTTGATAACAACAATTGAAAGTTGCTGTTCAAATTTACACAACTCTGGTCCCAAAGGACCAGAAATCCACTGTCGACGAAGGCATGACCTGTTCAGTTATTCACACGACGATCGAACCTTACATCTGAGGAGTTGGCAATTTGAGAATCGGTCAAGTGATGCGGATTTCATGAGTGAAGAATGAGCGGCGAGTTAACTACACTTCTGACCAGCCACTCGTGACCGAACGGTTCAGTATTCTGGAAGCTACAAGTTCGAAACGCCCCGGCGAATCGTGAGATGAACACTGGCAATGATGATTACCAAAGTAGTTTTTTTATTCAACCAACGTCCAGACAACCTGAAGCTGCGGAGGTAAAAACGTGCTATCACTTATCAGCGTGCTTCGCAAACGTAGTTGTTTTCTGAACGAAAACATAACTGCGTTTGGTAGATTCAAACAGCCTTCACTTCAAAACGCAGTGTCCCGTGCATTTCTCAAAAATCGGTGTAGAAACTGACATATTGTGCTATCGGTTGGCCAATGGATCGATACGTGAAATGCGGGGTTCAAAAACACCAAGTGATTTAATAATAGACACATGGCCGCATTGTGAGACAAACGAAGCACAGTCGAACAGTGTGGATAAGAACATGGGAATAGCGGTCAATGACCATTTGGAAAAAAGTTCACCATCTGTCTGTCCAGAGTAAACCGAAGCCATTTTGCGGGATTTACACCCTATAATATATAAAAATAACCGTCCAGCTGTGATACCTTTTCGGTGCACAGCAACTATGCAACCCCAAGGAGGCACGAGGACAGGTGTACTTCCAGGCCAGCGTAGTCGGGAACAATCGAAGAGCCAAGGTCCGGTTCGAACAAAAGACCTTCCTAAGTGTAGTTTCGCTATCTCGAACCCAGTGGTTAGCGTTTTCTGCGAAACTATTCTCAAAATAAACTTGTCGATTATCAAAACAAATCAGCTACGGAGTTAAGTCACCTTACGAGCATTGACAGTATTCAGTAGTCTATTTGGAGTACAGATTGGAAGCCGAACCCACTGGGAGGTGGGTTGAACACCATGACCTCCAGCTAAGGTTACCTTATATTTCAATGTTACACCACGTGACCTGGGGTTGACTGCGTGCTCGGATGATGATTTTCCATAAAGCATGATCACTTATGGTGTCTTCTTGACGGGTGGTGGAACGCTTGCAGCCTAGTAAGATGATAACAAACAACTCCGTATTGAACTGACTCAAAGTAGAGTGGTGTCGTGACCAAGATGGCCGTAGCCTCAAAGGGATGCAAATGTCTTTCTAGCTCAGTGTGAGGACCCCACAACGGCTGAATACCACGCAAGTAAGTTACTTAGGTACCATGATGCACCATGCTCAAGTGTCGAATGAACGAGGGACTATGATGTTAGGATGAGTATTGCAAGAAAGCATGAACTACTCTCGAAAATGGCCAGTAGTATATGCGACATCACACCAACAGACGCCATCATGTGGGCGGAATGTTATCACCTCGATCGAGGGAGTTCATGTGAAATCTAAAAGTCTAGTCTCAATATTCAATGCTCCCGAAAACGTGAAATTTGTACAGGTCGCCGTAAACGGCGGAATTCCGCTGGCTCAAAATACGAGTCAGCCGAAAGGTCAAAATACAGTTATTCCCCTAGAATGGAAGGACATCGGAGAATGAAATTTTCGGTCTCTTTCCGAAAGTGCAACCAACTCATCACTACCGTTGATTGGAACTGACGCGTTATGTTGCAGAAGTAGATCACGATGACGCAAGATTGCAGTGTTTACCTGAACAAAACTGAAAATACGCTCATGCATCTCTTGGTGAAGGAAAGTGTAACGTCCATCGGATAGTTAAATGCGCGCGTATAGACTAGCCTTGTTCGTTCGTTCTATTGCTGACCAACACACCGCACTGCTTGACTGGCGTGCACTTGATAAGCAGATTTGCCTCTGGAGCAGCGTACTTCGTCGGCAAAGATCGGGAGACTGGCGACAAGGACGGTGATACAACCGACGTGACAAATTTCGCGCGCTTTGAGGGCAAGTATGCGCGTCTGCGTGCAGGCATGTGACTGTCTGCAATTAACTAGTGGGTGTTTCTGATCGTATCGGCTGATAAACAAACGACCAAGCGGCCAAATATGCCCCGATCACTTTTATTGAGGAATGCAGCTAGGCTGGCGCCAACCATCACGTTGCTGGGTCATTCGACAAGCAAGCATTCAAAAACACCACACGATCAGTTGTTCGTTCTGATTTGGAACGTGATTAGTTTCCAGGAGTTAACCTACGGTGACAGTGGATTTACATTTCAGAAACGAGGTTTGTAAAACTCCCTCCCCCTAATAGCAAAGTTTCGTTAGTTCTCACTTAATGAGATCTTATTACAAAAAACTCGTTCAGCTGTAACACCCTTTCGGTGCCTAGCTGACATGCCACTCGAAGGAAGCACGAGGGCTGGGATACTGCCAGGTTGCCCAAGCATAGACAGGGGAAGTCGAGAGGTAGAGGTCGGGTTCGAACCACGGATCTTCTGGTCATCTGGGCCATCTCGCCCCGAGATCTCATTAACAGTCCATGAAGTGAGAACGTCGGAAATCGGAATTGAGCATGGAAAACAGTACTCTCTTCGGCAAACGATCGTTCGGCATACGTAACACATGTCCCAACCAACGCAGCTTCTGGTGCTAAAC